CCCACCTGCTGGTGTGTGTGTGTGTGTCACGCCCCACCTGCTGGTGTGGGTGTGTGTGTGTCACGCCCCACCTGCTGTCACGCCCCAACTGTGTGTGTGTGTGTCACGCCCCACCTGCTGGTGTGTGTGTGTGTGTGTCACGCCCCACCTGCGTGTGTGTGTGTGTGTCACGCCCCACCTGCTGGTGTGTGTGTGTGTCACGCCCCACCTGCTGGTGTGTGTGTGTGTCACGCCCCACCTGCTGGTGTGTGTGTGTGTGTCACGCCCCACCTGCTGGTGTGTGTGTGTGTGTCACGCCCCACCTGCTGTGTGTGTGTGTGTGTCACGCCCCACCTGCTGGTGTGTGTGTGTGTGTCACGCCCCACCTGCTGGTGTGTGTGTGTGTCACGCCCCCACCTGCTGGTGTGTGTGTGTGTCACGCCCCACTGCTGGTGTGTGTGTGTGTGTCACGCCCCACCTGCTGGTGTGTGTGTGTGTGTCACGCCCCACCTGCTGGTGTGTGTGTGTGTGTCACGCCCCACCTGCTGGTGTGTGTGTGTGTGTGTCACGCCCCACCTGCTGGTGTGTGTGTGTGTGTCACGCCACACCTGCTGGTGTGTGTGTGTGTGTCACGCCCACCTGCTGGTGTGTGTGTGTGTGTCACGCCCAACTGCTGGTGTGTGTGTGTGTGTCACGCCCACCTGCTGGTGTGTGTGTGTGTCACGCCCCACCTGCTGGTGTGTGTGTGTGTGTGTCACGCCCCACCTGCTGTTGTGTGTGTGTGTGTCACGCCCCCACCTGCTGGTGTGTGTGTGTGTGTCACGCCCCACCTGCTGGTGTGTGTGTGTGTGTCACGCCCCACCTGCTGGTGTGTGTGTGTGTGTCACGCCCCACCTGCTGGTGTGTGTGTGTGTGTCACGCCCCACCTGCTGGGTGTGTGTGTGTGTGTCACGCCCCACCTGCTGGGTGTGTGTGTGTGTGTCACGCCCCACTGCTGGGGTGTGTGTGTGTGTGTCACGCCCCACCTGCTGGTGTGTGTGTGTGTGTCACGCCCACCTGCTGGTGTGTGTGTGTGTGTCACGCCCACCTGCTGGTGTGTGTGTGTGTCACGCCCCACCGCTGGTTGTGTGTGTGTGTGTGTCACGCCCCACCTGCTGGGTGTGTGTGTGTGTCACGCCACACTGCTGGTGTGTGTGTGTGTGTCACGCCCACCTGCTGTGTGTGTGTGTGTGTCACGCCCACCTGCTGGTGTGTGTGTGTGTCACGCCCCACCTGCTGGTGTGTGTGTGTGTGTCACGCCCCACCTGCTGGTGTGTGTGTGTGTGTGTCACGCCCACCTGCTGGTGTGTGTGTGTGTGTCACGCCCCACCTGCTGGTGTGTGTGTGTGTGTCACGCCCCCACCGCTGGTGTGTGTGTGTGTGTCACGCCCACCTGCTGGTGTGTGTGTGTGTCACGCCCCACCTGCTGGTGTGTGTGTGTGTGTCACGCCCCACCTGCTGGTGTGTGTGTGTGTGTCACGCCCCACCTGCTGGTGTGTGTGTGTGTCACGCCCCACCTGCTGGTGTGTGTGTGTGTGTCACGCCCCACCTGCTGGTGTGTGTGTGTGTGTCACGCCCCCCCTGCTGGTGTGTGTGTGTGTGTCACGCCCCACCTGCTGGTGTGTGTGTGTGTGTCACGTCACCCACCTGCTGGTGTGTGTGTGTCACGATGTGTGTGTGTGTGTCACGCCCCACCTGCTGGTGTGTGTGTGTGTGTGTCACGCCCACCTGCTGGTGTGTGTGTGTGTGTCACGCCCCACCTGCTGGTGTGTGTGTGTCACGCCCCACCTGCTGGTGTGTGTGTGTGTGTCACGCCCCACCTGCTGGTGTGTGTGTGTGTGTCACGCCCCACCTGCTGGTGTGTGTGTGTGTGTCACGCCCCACCTGCTGGTGTGTGTGTGTGTGTCACGCCCCACCTGCTGGTGTGTGTGTGTGTGTCACGCCCACCTGCTGGTGTGTGTGTGTGTCACGCCCCACCTGCTGGTGTGTGTGTGTGTGTCACGCCCCACCTGCTGGTGTGTGTGTGTGTGTCACGCCCCACCTGCTGGTGTGTGTGTGTGTGTCACGCCCCACCCTGGTGTGTGTGTGTGTGTCACGCCCCCCTGCTGGTGTGTGTGTGTGTGTCACGCCCCACCTGCTGGCTGGTGTGTGTGTGTGTCACGCCCCACCTGCTGGTGTGTGTGTGTGTGTCACGCCCACCTGCTGGTGGTGTGTGTGTGTGTGTCACGCCCCACCTGCTGGTGTGTGTGTGTGTGTCACGCCCCACCTGCTGGTGTGTGTGTGTGTGTCACGCCCCACCTGCTGGTGTGTGTGTGTGTGTCACGCCCCACCTGCTGGTGTGTGTGTGTGTGTCACGCCCCACCTGCTGGTGTGTGTGTGTGTGTCACGCCCCACCTGCTGGTGTGTGTGTGTGTGTCACGCCCCACCTGCTGGTGTGTGTGTGTGTGTCACGCCCCACCTGCTGGTGTGTGTGTGTGTGTCACGCCCCACCTGCTGGTGTGTGTGTGTGTCACGCCCCACCTGCTGGTGTGTGTGTGTGTCACGCCCCACCTGCTGGTGTGTGTGTGTGTCATGTCCACAAGGCCGCGTTCCCCACAAGGCCGCGTTCTCCACAAGGCCACGTTCCCCACAAGGCCACGTTCCCCACAAGGCCACGTTCCCCACAAGGCCACGTTCCCCACAAGGCCGCGTTCTCCACAAGGCCACGTTCCCCACAAGGCCACGTTCCCCACAAGGCCGCGTTCTCCACAAGGCCACGTTCCCCACAAGGCCACGTTCCCCACAAGGCCACGTTCCCCACAAGGCCACGTTCCCCACAAGGCCACGTTCCCCACAAGGCCACGTTCCCCACAAGGCCACGTTCCCCACAAGGCCACGTTCCCCACAAGGCCACGTTCCCCACAAGGCCACGTTCCCCACAAGGCCACGTTCCCCACAAGGCCACGTTCCCCACAAGGCCACGTTCCCCACAAGGCCACGTTCCCCACAAGGCCGCGTTCTCCACAAGGCCACGTTCCCCACAAGGCCACGTTCCCCACAAGGCCACGTTCCCCACAAGGCCACGTTCCCCACAAGGCCACGTTCCCCACAAGGCCGCGTTCTCCACAAGGCCACGTTCCCCACAAGGCCACGTTCCCCACAAGGCCACGTTCCCACAAGGCCACGTTCCCCACAAGGCCATGTTCCCCACAAGGCCACGTCCCCACAAGGCCATGTTCCCCACAAGGCCGCGTTCCCCACAAGGCCACGTTCCCCACAAGGCCATGTTCCCCACAAGGCCACGTTCCCCACAAGGCCATGTTCCCCACAAGGCCGCGTTCCCCACAAGGCCACGTTCCCCACAAGGCCACGTTCCCCACAAGGCCACGTTCCCCACAAGGCCATGTTCCCCACAAGGCCACGTTCCCCACAAGGCCATGTTCCCCACAAGGCCGCGTTCCCCACAAGGCCACGTTCCCCACAAGGCCACGTTCGCCACAAGGCCGCGTTCGCCACAAGGCCACGTTCCCCACAAGGCCGCGTTCCCCACAAGGCCGCGTTCGCCACAAGGCCGCGTTCCCCACAAGGCCGCGTTCCCCACAAGGCCGCGTTCCCCACAAGGCCACGTTCCCCACAAGGCCACGTTCCCCACAAGGCCGCGTTCCCCACAAGGCCGCGTTCACCACAAGGCCACGTTCCCCACAAGGCCGCGTTCACCACAAGGCCGCGTTCCCCACAAGGCCGCGTTCCCCACAAGGCCACGTTCCCCACAAGGCCGCGTTCACCACAAGGCCGCGTTCCCCACAAGGCCACGTTCCCCACAAGGCCGCGTTCACCACAAGGCCACGTTCCCCACAAGGCCACGTTCCCCACAAGGCCGCGTTCACCACAAGGCCACGTTCCCCACAAGGCCGCGTTCACCACAAGGCCGCGTTCCCCACAAGGCCGCGTTCACCACAAGGCCGCGTTCCCCACAAGGCCGCGTTCCCCACAAGGCCGCGTTCCCCACAAGGCCGCGTTCCCCACAAGGCCGCGTTCCCCACAAGGCCGCGTTCCCCACAAGGCCGCGTTCCCCACAAGGCCGCGTTCCCCACAAGGCCGCGTTCCCCACAAGGCCGCGTTCCCCACAAGGCCACGTTCCCCACAAGGCCGCGTTCCCCACAAGGCCGCGTTCCCCACAAGGCCGCGTTCCCCACAAGGCCGCGTTCCCCACAAGGCCACGTTCCCCACAAGGCCGCGTTCCCCACAAGGCCGCGTTCCCCACAAGGCCACGTTCCCCACAAGGCCGCGTTCTCCACAAGGCCACGTTCCCCACAAGGCCGCGTTCCCCACAACTTTGTGGCCATGGGATCTTAATCCCAGCTATGTAGATGCTGGGATAATTCAGATCAACTTTAATACTTTTTCTGTTATTATCAATATCTGAATTATGTGGGGATTTTCGGAAGTATGATGGGATATGGGTGAATGAATGATGAATGAGAGAGGAATGAAGGGTGAATGAGAGACGAGTGAAGGGTGAATGAGAGACGAGTGAAGGGTGAATGAGAGACGAGTGAAGGGTGAATGAGAGACGAGTGAAGGGTGAATGAGAGAGAAGTGAAGGGTGAATGAGAGACGACTGAAGGGTGAATGAGAGAGGAGTGAAGGGTGAATGAGAGAGGAGTGAAGGGTGAATGAGAGAGGAGTGAAGGGTGAATGAGAGAGGAGTGAAGGGTGAATGAGAGAGGAGTGAAGGGTGAATGAGAGACGAGTGAAGGGTGAATGAGAGACGAGTGAAGGGTGAATGAGAGACGAGTGAAGGGTGAGTGAGAGACGAGTGAAGGGTGAGTGAGAGACGAGTGAAGGGTGAGTGAGAGACGAGTGAAGGGTGAATGAGAGAGGAGTGAAGGGTGAATGAGACACGAGTGAAGGGTGAATGAGAGACGAGTGAAGGGTGAATGAGACACGAGTGAAGGGTGAATGAGAGACGAGTGACGGGTGAATGAGACAGCTGTACTCACCCATGAAGGCGGAGGGGATGGAAGTAAGGAAGAGCTTCTGACTGCGAATGGGGACCCCGGTCTCTGGGTCCTGCATCTCTCTCACCAGGGCCTCCATCTGAGGACAAAATACAGCTGTAGTCAACAACATTTCACACCTCCTGGCCTATTGTATCACCTACTGTATAACTCTCATTCACTCAGGTGAAGTGCATGATATAATTTATCCTAAATTTGGTTGGTTATTTTAAAGAATGATGAATAGTTTTATTTATATTATTATAAAAGTCCATTTTTATGAACACTTCCGTGCTGTTGTGTGGCTGTGTAGTGAGAGTTATGGCAGTGTGTAGTGAGAGTTATGGCTGTGTGTGGTGAGAGTTATGGCTGTGTGTAGTGAGAGTTATGGCAGTGTGTAGTGAGAGTTATGGCTGTGTGTAGTGAGAGTTATGGCAGTGTGTAGTGAGAGTTATGGCTGTGTGTGGTGAGAGTTATGGCAGTGTGTAGTGAGAGTTATGGCTGTGTGTAGTGAGAGTTATGGCAGTGTGTAGTGAGAGTTATGGCAGTGTGTAGTGAGAGTTATGGCAGTGTGTAGTGAGAGTTACCACAGTGTGTAGTGAGAGTTATGGCTGTGTGTAGTGAGAGTTATGGCAGTGTGTAGTGAGAGTTATGGCTGTGTGTGGTGAGAGTTATGGCTGTGTAGTGAGAGTTATGGCAGTGTGTAGTGAGAGTTATGGCTGTGTGTAGTGAGAGTTATGGCAGTGTGTAGTGAGAGTTATGGCAGTGTGTAGTGAGAGTTATGGCTGTGTGTAGTGAGAGTTATGGCTGTGTGTAGTGAGAGTTATGGCAGTGTGTAGTGAGAGTTATGGCAGTGTGTAGTGAGAGTTATGGCAGTGTGTAGTGAGAGTTATGGCAGTGTGTAGTGAGAGTTATGGCTGTGTGTAGTGAGAGTTATGGCAGTGTGTAGTGAGAGTTATGGCTGTGTGTAGTGAGAGTTATGGCAGTGTGTAGTGAGAGTTATGGCAGTGTGTAGTGAGAGTTATGGCTGTGTGTAGTGAGAGTTATGGCAGTGTGTAGTGAGAGTTATGGCTGTGTGTAGTGAGAGTTATGGCAGTGTGTAGTGAGAGTTATGGCAGTGTGTAGTGAGAGTTATGGCTGTGTGTAGTGAGAGTTATGGCAGTGTGTAGTGAGAGTTATGGCTGTGTGTAGTGAGAGTTATGGCAGTGTGTAGTGAGAGTTATGGCAGTGTGTAGTGAGAGTTATGGCTGTGTGTAGTGAGAGTTATGGCTGTGTGTAGTGAGAGTTATGGCAGTGTGTAGTGAGAGTTATGGCAGTGTGTAGTGAGAGTTATGGCAGTGTGTAGTGAGAGTTATGGCAGTGTGTAGTGAGAGTTATGGCAGTGTGTAGTGAGAGTTATGGCAGTGTGTAGTGAGAGTTATGGCAGTGTGTAGTGAGAGTTATGGCAGTGTGTAGTGAGAGTTATGGCAGTGTGTAGTGAGAGTTATGGCAGTGTGTAGTGAGAGTTATGGCAGTGTGTAGTGAGAGTTATGGCAGTGTGTAGTGAGAGTTATGGCAGTGTGTAGTGAGAGTTATGGCAGTGTGTAGTGAGAGTTATGGCAGTGTGTAGTGAGAGTTATGGCAGTGTGTAGTGAGAGTTATGGCAGTGTGTAGTGAGAGTTATGGCAGTGTGTAGTGAGAGTTATGGCAGTGTGTAGTGAGAGTTATGGCAGTGTGTAGTGAGAGTTATGGCAGTGTGTAGTGAGAGTTATGGCAGTGTGTAGTGAGAGTTATGGCAGTGTGTAGTGAGAGTTATGGCAGTGTGTAGTGAGAGTTATGGCAGTGTGTAGTGAGAGTTATGGCAGTGTGTAGTGAGAGTTATGGCAGTGTGTAGTGAGAGTTACCACAGTGTGTAGTGAGAGTTATGGCAGTGTGTAGTGAGAGTTATGGCTGTGTGTAGTGAGAGTTATGGCAGTGTGTAGTGAGAGTTATGGCTGTGTGTAGTGAGAGTTATGGCTGTGTGTAGTGAGAGTTATGGCAGTGTGTAGTGAGAGTTATGGCAGTGTGTAGTGAGAGTTACCACAGTGTGTAGTGAGAGTTATGGCAGTGTGTAGTGAGAGTTATGGCTGTGTGTAGTGAGAGTTATGGCAGTGTGTAGTGAGAGTTATGGCTGTGTGTAGTGAGAGTTATGGCAGTGTGTAGTGAGAGTTATGGCAGTGTGTAGTGAGAGTTATGGCTGTGTGTAGTGAGAGTTATGGCAGTGTGTAGTGAGAGTTATGGCAGTGTGTAGTGAGAGTTATGGCAGTGTGTAGTGAGAGTTATGGCAGTGTGTAGTGAGAGTTATGGCAGTGTGTAGTGAGAGTTATGGCAGTGTGTAGTGAGAGTTATGGCAGTGTGTAGTGAGAGTTATGGCAGTGTGTAGTGAGAGTTACCACAGTGTGTAGCGAGAGTTATGGCAGTGTGTAGTGAGAGTTATGGCAGTGTGTAGTGAGAGTTATGGCAGTGTGTAGTGAGAGTTATGGCAGTGTGTAGTGAGAGTTACCACAGTGTGTAGTGAGAGTTATGGCAGTGTGTAGTGAGAGTTACCACAGTGTGTAGTGAGAGTTATGGCAGTGTGTAGTGAGAGTTATGGCAGTGTGTAGTGAGAGTTATGGCTGTGTGTAGTGAGAGTTACCACAGTGTGTAGTGAGAGTTACCACAGTGTGTAGTGAGAGTTACCACAGTGTGTAGTGAGAGTTATGGCTGTGTGTAGTGAGAGTTACCACAGTGTGTAGTGAGAGTTATGGCTGTGTGTAGTGAGAGTTACCACAGTGTGTAGTGAGAGTTACCACAGTGTGTAGTGAGAGTTATGGCAGTGTGTAGTGAGAGTTATGGCAGTGTGTAGTGAGAGTTATGGCAGTGTGTAGTGAGAGTTATGGCAGTGTGTAGTGAGAGTTATGGCAGTGTGTAGTGAGAGTTATGGCAGTGTGTAGTGAGAGTTATGGCAGTGTGTAGTGAGAGTTATGGCTGTGTGTAGTGAGAGTTACCACAGTATGTAGTGAGAGTTACCACAGTGTGTAGTGAGAGTTATGGCTGTGTGTAGTGAGAGTTATGGCTGTGTGTAGTGAGAGTTATGGCAGTGTGTAGTGAGAGTTATGGCTGTGTGTAGTGAGAGTTATGGCTGTGTGTACTGAGAGTTACCACAGTGTGTAGTGAGAGTTATGGCTGTGTGTAGTGAGAGTTATGGCTGTGTGTAGTGAGAGTTATGGCAGAGTGTAGTGAGAGTTATGGCTGTGTGTAGTGAGAGTTACCACAGTGTGTAGTGAGAGTTATGGCAGAGTGTAGTGAGAGTTATGGCAGTGTGTAGTGAGAGTTATGGCAGTGTGTAGTGAGAGTTATGGCAGTGTGTGGTGAGAGTTATGGCTGTGTGTAGTGAGAGTTACCACAGTGTGTAGTGAGAGTTATGGCTGTGAGTAGTGAGAGTTACCACAGTGTGTAGTGAGAGTTACCACAGTGTGTAGTGAGAGTTATGGCTGTGTGTAGTGAGAGTTATGGCTGTGTGTAGTGAGAGTTATGGCAGTGTGTAGTGAGAGTTATGGCTGTGTGTAGTGAGAGCTATGGCAGTGTGTAGTGAGAGTTATGGCAGTGTGTAGTGAGAGTTATGGCAGTGTGTAGTGAGAGTTATGGCAGTGTGTAGTGAGAGTTATGGCAGTGTGTGGTGAGAGTTACCACAGTGTGTAGTGAGAGTTATGGCAGTGTGTAGTGAGAGTTATGGCAGTGTGTAGTGAGAGTTACCACAGTGTGTAGTGAGAGTTATGGCAGTGTGTGGTGAGAGTTATGGCAGTGTGTAGTGAGAGTTATGGCTGTGTGTAGTGAGAGTTACCACAGTGTGTAGTGAGAGTTATGGCTGTGTGTAGTGAGAGTTATGGCTGTGTGTAGTGAGAGTTACCACAGTGTGTAGTGAGAGTTATGGCAGTGTGTAGTGAGAGTTATGGCAGTGTGTAGTGAGAGTTACCACAGTGTGTAGTGAGAGTTACCACAGTGTGTAGTGAGAGTTATGGCAGTGTGTAGTGAGAGTTATGGCTGTGTGTAGTGAGAGTTACCACAGTGTGTAGTGAGAGTTATGCTGTGTGTAGTGAGAGTTACCACAGTGTGTAGTGAGAGTTATAACAGTGTGTAGTGAGAGTTATGGCAGTGTGTAGTGAGTTACCACAGTGTGTAGTGAGAGTTACCACAGTGTGTAGTGAGAGTTATGGCAGTGTGTAGTGAGAGTTATGGCAGTGTGTAGTGAGAGTTATGGCAGTGTGTAGTGAGAGTTACCACAGTGTGTAGTGAGAGTTATGGCAGTGTGTAGTGAGAGTTATGGCAGTGTGTAGTGAGAGTTATGGCAGTGTGTGGTGAGAGTTATGGCTGTGTGTAGTGAGAGTCATGGCTGTGTGTAGTGAGAGTTATGGCAGTGTGTAGTGAGAGTTATGGCTGTGTGTAGTGAGAGTTACCACAGTGTGTAGTGAGAGTTATGGCAGTGTGTAGTGAGAGTTATGGCTGTGTGTAGTGAGAGTTACCACAGTGTGTAGTGAGAGTTACCACAGTGTGTAGTGAGAGTTATGGCAGTGTGTAGTGAGAGTTATGGCAGTGTGTAGTGAGAGTTATGGCAGTGTGTAGTGAGAGTTACCACAGTGTGTAGTGAGAGTTATGGCAGTGTGTGGTGAGAGTTATGGCAGTGTGTAGTGAGAGTTACCACAGTGTGTAGTGAGAGTTACCACAGTGTGTAGTGAGAGTTACCACAGTGTGTAGTGAGAGTTACGGCAGTGTGTGGTGAGAGTTATGGCAGTGTGTAGTGAGAGTTATGGCTGTGTGTAGTGAGAGTTATGGCAGTGTGTAGTGAGAGTTATGGCAGTGTGTAGTGAGAGTTATGGCAGTGTGTAGTGAGAGTTATGGCTGTGTGTAGTGAGAATTATGGCAGTGTGTAGTGAGAGTTATGGCAGTGTGTAGTGAGAGTTATGGCAGTGTGTGGTGAGAGTTACCACAGTGTGTAGTGAGAGTTATGGCTGTGTGTAGTGAGAGTTATGGCAGTGTGTAGTGAGAGTTACCACAGTGTGTAGTGAGAGTTACCACAGTGTGTAGTGAGAGTTATGGCTGTGT